ATGTAAAGGTCCATTTGTGATAACGCCATCGATCGAGAAGGACGAACAAATAAAAAACACTGTATCGAAAGATTCATCGCTACAAGACAGTATTTTCATGCACAAACCGTCGCGTTACGAATGTCTCTATGATGTTTCACGGTATGGGTGTTTAGACTTGATCGATCTTAGGCTTTTCTTGGCATTGATATCTAGGTGTTATCTATTTCAATTGTTCTAAAAGACTTTATTATAAATATTACTCTCGAACCATGGCGTATATATTTTATATACACAGCGCTATAATGTTTATTTGAATATTTTCTGTTTAATTGAAATGGGTCTTTTCTTTTTAAGCCTTACCATTTATGTACAGTATGACAGACTAGAGGAAAGGCAGCTAGCTAGTCAACACTTCTCACTGTCAACTCTTGGGTTACTCTTTACCAGAGACGTCGATAGACACTGGTACAGGGGGCTCGTGTCCCGATTTTATTTGACACTATCTCGAATCCCCAGCTGGTGTCTTAAAAAATCAGAACAGAAAACCATCATCGATATCATACGAAATATCCTGCGCCTATAGGCCCTAGCGACAAATATTTTAAGCACCTAGCAACGCCTCTGCCCTTTAACAACGAATAGTGACATTGACCATCACATTATAACGCTCACGCGGCTGAAAGGGTGAGGATGTTCAATAACGAGTTTCGATCCCGCGTACGGCAGATTGCTATTCGAGCTCCCTAACCACCAGGCCATGCAAAGCCCATGTTTTAAATGTAGAACATGAACAGCAACATTAGAATTTAACTGTTACGTCTTTGTTTTATTACTTTAGTTATTAATATAATTGTTATTATGTAACAACAGTTTTACTTTCTTGAGTGATATAAGTTGTTTAACTGTAATTTATATGTTATATATTTTTCATTTATCGTTTTTATGGGTTACCTTGTCGTCAATTCAGATACAATAAGGGATTTAAAATGTCGTTTTAAATTTCAATTTTACAGTTTCAGTCTTCCTGTCTCATGCACATGTTTTTCTTCTTACGCCCAAACGCTTTCATTGTTTGTGATTGTAGCTTATAGCTGTAGATTAATCTTTAGTGTCAAGATTTGTTAGTAACGGGACAGCTTGCTTTATGTGTGTGTTTCCATGGAAACCCTTTCGTCACAAGCATGTTTACCGTTATAAAACTAACTATATATTTTTTTTTTCAAAGCTCGTCTAAGCAGGAACACGAGCACGCCTTGTTTTGATAATTATTTGTTCATAGAGCTGAAATTTCTTTGCTTCAGAAAAGGAGAATTCGACTACAGGGTAAACCAAAAATATTCAGTCATATCGGATTGTATAATTTAATTCACGTTTGATTCTAAATAAACAGCTAATAATTGTAATAAAAGTTTTTGACTAAGATACCTGTTTCACTATACATCATTTTTTTATTTAATTTTTTTCCGAAATCAATATTCCAACTACTGTTAAAACTAAGAGGGTTCCGAGAAAGGGCGTAGAAAAAAAAAGCTGAAGACAATAAAAAAAAATATGGGTTTGGAATTAGACGTCCTTTATTTAAATTTAAATAAGTAATAATATATACAACTACCTTACTGTTGCTTCGCCCTTTCAGCCGTGAGGGCGTTATAATGTGACGGTCAATCCCACTATTCGTTGGTAAAAGAGTAGCCCAAGAGTTGGCGGTGATGACTAGCTGCCTTCCCTATAGGCTTTCACTACTAAATTAGGGACGGCTATCGCAGATGCCCCCCAGTGGCACAGCGGTATGTCTGCGAACTTACAACGCCAGAATCCGGGTTTCGATACTCGTGGTGGGCAGAGTACAGATAGCCCATTGTGTAGCTTTGCGCGAAATTCAAAACAGACCATATTGTAAATACTGCTGCTTGTAAAAACAAGAATAAAATAAGCATTCTTGTTAATTAAGTTGTCTTATAGATGCTATTGGTAAAATGTGAATGAAAAGTTGCTCAAGTGTTTAGTATAAAAAGAATACTTCCGGTATATTGGATTTGATTCTATAACTAAAGAATTCCAGGAATTATGTTTCATTCTAGTGATTATATATAATCCTGATTATTTTATAAAAATATGAATACATATCTGAAAGCTTAAAACATTTTGAATTGACGACATTTTAAAGAATCGTTTGTTTGTTGTATAGCGTGAAAAACTCGAAGGCTATCCGCACTACCCGTTCCTACTTTAGAAGCGACAGACTAGAGGGAACGCAGCTAGTCAACACAACCAATCACTAACTCTTTGGCTACGCTAAACGATTAGTGAGATTGACCGTTACATCACAAAGCCTTCACAAATGAAAGGGCGAGCGTGTGAGGTGATTGAATTCGAACCAGCGACCCTCAGATTGCCAGTCGAGCGTCTTCGCTACCAGGCCATACCAGGTCCACGTTCGTTATAATAATTATCAAAAAACTCAACTATAAATACACATATATTGTGACACAAAGTACACCCGTGGTACTTTTAAGTCTAATTTTGCTTAATCTCATGTATACATAAAATAAATATTATAATAATAATTATTGATGTTTTACGTTTGTCTTTATTATTTTTGAATGGACAAAATAAATAAAATGAGTTATCTTTAGCTTGATGAATTAGTACTAATAACGCAAAAATTTTAAATCAATATTTTTCCGAAAACAGAATTGGAAGAAAGCAGAGTAAGTACAGAATTGCCCTCCCATGTGGGTCGGCGGTAAGTTTATAGACTTAAAGCGCTAAAATTTGTAGTTCGATTCCATGCGGTGGACTGAGTGCAGACGCCTTACTGTGTAGCTTTGCTTTTGCTTATTTTTTATTTTTTTTGTAGTTTGAGCACAAAGATACACAATTGGCTATCTGTGCTCTGCCCACCACGGGTATCGAAACCCGGTTTCTAGCGTTGTGCCACTGGGGGTGGGGGTAGCTTTGCACTAAAAAAACAGCAGCACAGAATTAAAGAGGACACTAAAAATAACTTTCAGTAGTTATGTGGTTCTTTTGTGAGAATATTTACATAAGAAGATTATAACACTATAATCTAATCGATAAATTAAAGCAATTTATACGTGGTCCCTGTGTAACCATGAAATGATATTGGTTAAAAGATAATGAACTGGTTTGTAGTCCCACATTAATACGCTGGAGCCCCCCAGTGGCACAGCGGCATGTCTGCGGACTTACAACGCTAGAATCCGGGTTTCGATACCCGTGGTGGGCAGAGCACAGATAGCCCATTGTGTTGCTTTGTGCTTAATTACAAATAAACATAAAGATACGCTGGAGTGTAGTTCTAGAATAACAAATTAATGTCTAACAAATCTTGTAACTAACTCATTTGTTCAACCTTTAAACTTAAATCATTATATTACGACAAAATATAAACGTATTAAACAACGTTCGGAAACTTTTATTAAGTTTATTAAAAAAACAACACAAAACCATTTATGGATTTTAACAATTAATATCCGAGGGCATGATATGAACTGGCTTTTCGTTTTCTAAGTTACTGAAAATTTATAACTAAAATTTTCATGTATTATGCAAGTAAAATAAAAAAAAAACTCATTGTGCTGATACGAAGTTCTGAAGAAGAGTATAAAACCTGTTTCGATATGTGATAAATTTACATACTAACAATTGAACAGACTGAAGAAATAGTTTAATAACAATAAATAAGAAAGAGGATAAATATTATCGCTAATAATGCTTGGAGACGGCTTGAATGGGTAATGAAGAAAATATTTAATATAAGTTTAACATAACAGCAAATGTACAACGTTTCGACAAGGTTTTGTCATCATTCAAGCTGTCTCCAAGTATTATTAGTCTCAAAGTGGGTTCCTCGTCATCGAAATATTACCACTGAATCATACATGTTAATAATTATCGTGAAATTAATTTTTACATTGCAACTTCTAACATTTGTAAGACTTAATTTGAATAATTTAGTTTATTTAATTAACATTACTGAACGCTTAATTTTCTTCTTAGAAGTTATGTTACTAAAATGTGTTTACATAAAAAAGAAAGAAAAATAAATCAATTTAACTTCGGTGAACTGTTAATAGATGTCGCTGCGTACTTAGAAATTTGTATATTTTATTCATTTTTAATTTGCAAGTACTGCGATTGTTCATTTTAGTTTGATTTATTACGTATAATTTCCAAATTACTATAGTATGGCATATTATAAAAGTTGTTGTATCAGGGAAAGATTAGTTACACGTTACTAAAATCGAAGTGGATAAAAAAAAGCATTCAGCAGGTTTCAGAAAACTGTCACTAGATAGCGCTGCAATTAGACTACTCTTCGCTTTCTACGAAATTTAAATTACGAAAACTGTGAATACAATGTGCAACATTATAGCATATCGAACAATGACTTTTTGAACTTTTACTAAACAATGTTTTGAAAATTGTCACTATATTCGTGATAATAATTTGTAACTCAAAAGTATTACTTTGATATAACAGCAACAATAGTTTTATTAGTTCTTATTTTTATTTCTCAACAAAGCTCAGCGGCTGTAACAACGTACTTATTTTTATACATGATGTTAAAGAATTGGATGTATAAGAAATTGTTGACGCTAAGTAGATCCTTCACATATTAGTATTTATATATTTTTCGACGAATCCAGAGATAATGATAAATCGTAATTTTTTATTCACTCAAATAACAAAATAAAATAATCAGTCTTGAAATTACGTCATGGTTAATACATCTTAATTTTTTGGCATTTACCACTTCATTTGCAAAAAAAATGCAAAATGTTTTTTAGAAAACTTTAAAAATATTTTAAATCGTATTCTCATTGCTATTATTTGATTATGAATCCCCATTATATAGCTATGTTATGTTTAAAAAACAAGTCATTAACACCCTCTTATATTCTCTTCTATCGCGGTCACGTGCATTAATCATGTTATTTTTCCCACATAACACCATTTTTGCCGCCATTGTTTATTACAGAGCAAGCGCATGGCCGCCACCACTGTTGGATGACCTTGGAAGCTTGAGCACGACGCTGTGGGGTAGAAGGGAATGTATTAGAGTGTTACCGCTTGTGCACATACATTCATAGACAGGAAGAATGTTAGCTGGCGACTGAAACGTCAGAAAGAGAGACAACAAGGAGAATAGATCAAGGGGTTTAGTTTCCTTTCCCCAACGTCTCCATGTTTTGTAGCTCTAGTCTGTGTACTGGTTTGGAAGATCGGTACTGTGTTAGCTAGTCGTTCAGTGGGCTTGTTGTAGCGACAAGTTTGTTGTCCGGATAGTACTGGCCTCAGTCTAAGTAGTCACAAAAGCTGACTGATTAAACGCGAAGGCAACTGTTTTAAGCTCTAAAGTAAAGGTAAGTTATAGGCGTTTTCCTTATGTTATAACATAAAAACTCGCTTGAGACTACAGCTACGAAATAATATACATGTTGCGCTTATTGGATCTTAAAGTTGTGAAAGTTATTGCATTTATAGTGTAGTTGAGTATTGTTAGTCACGTTTTGTGAATCTTCATTATTATCTTTCTGCTAACAATATTGTTCCTGTAACAATAAAAAGATGATGCAATTTTAATAAGCTGGAGATTAAATGGTTTAAAAATAATAATACGATAACAATACTGAGATGTACTCTTATTTCGCAAGTGTTACTTGCGCCGTCTTGAGTCTGAAAGATCATATGTTTTATTGCTTTTATATAATTTAAAGTATAATACTGTCATTATTAATTGCAGATAACTTGTAGCAATTTGAATTAGCAGATACGACGTACTGCCCTCTACCTCCCTCTTGCCGGCATTTATTTAGAATTGAATGCGTTTATTGCAGAAGACGGAAATTTATATAAAACATATAGACATTTTTAAATTGAATACCGTATTGTTTATTGTGATGAGGTGGAGTCACTTGTGCTATTGACCTAACGATCTATATTAAACGTGTACTGGAGTAATAAAATTGGTTCCTAAGACTATTATTAATTTTCAAACAATGCCAGTATTAATTAATGGCACTAATTTAGCACCTTTTTTTTAAAAGTATTATCATTCAAGAACCATTATATTGTATGTAAACAATCAATACTTGTTTTAATATGATTATGTTTACAAAATATTTATTTATTCATCAAACTCACGGTATTAAAATTATTTTAATTTAAAATGCTAATATCATAACGTACTTCATTTTTTTTAATCGTATTGCATAAATTATGTAGAACCTAGCAAAATACAGATATTTTAGAGAACAAAAGCAGCTTATTCGAAGATGTTGTTTGTTTAAAGAGGTTGATTTCGAATTTAAACAAAATATTAAGATTCGACAATTGTTATGGTCTTTTACAAGTTGAGGAAGAATAATTAAAATTATACTTGTCATGAGACAAGTTAGGCCTATTACATTTTTAATCACGACATTCTAGCCCCTTCAGGATTTTCAAGAATTAGAACAGTGTGTGATAATAGTATTCCAACCACACCATATTTGTCACACACATTGCCGATGACGCGTTTAGCTCAATCCAGAGCTCTGCAGATCGCTTGGGATACAACAAACAATAGTAGTGGCTTATATAAATAGTGTTCCAAAGTTATTGTAGTTGTGGTATCCCAATTGGCCTTAAAGAGCTCTGGATTGAGCCAAACGCGTCGTCGACAATGGATGTTACAAATATGATGTTGTTAGATTACTATTATTATCCACTTTTCTAATTCTTGAAAATCTCTAACTGTAAGAGACTAGATAAAGAATGTAGTATTTAAAAATGTAATAGGCCTAACATTAATGTCTTATGACAAGTATAATTGAAAATATATTTTACTACCTGTATTCAGGTATTTCTGGCACGCAAGATATAATTGAAATTATACTTATCTTAATAGTTCATTTAGGAATCTTATTTTAAGATATTATTACAACTATGTTACAAACAATTCTGTTTAAACGGTCAGTGCTGTTCATATTATTAATACATCTTTGATACCATGTCACAATATCAGTGTTAACAATTTAAGTCACATTATGTTTACTGAATTAATTTGGGTTTTGAATAAGAAGAGTAATGTATATATATAAATATTTCACTTGTATCTTGTTTGTTGTTACGCATTTGCTGACGCGGCAAATTGCTCGACGCCAAAGTTCACGAAGCCGACTAGATTACTAACTGTTCTAAACCTTCCTGTTCTTCTCTGTTTTGAATTACTATTCAATTATAACATTGTTGTAAGATTCTTAACTAATGATTCAATGGGTTTTCTGGATCTTTAGCTTCTTTAAATTGTGCATAATATTAAGATAATTATTAATGATAGGTCTTCACACTGTACTGTAATAACCAATAGTTTGGGGTTATTAAATGTTGTGAAATGTATTATTCGCGTTTACTTTTATTTTGAATTATTTTGGTTTAAATTTCCAGGATTTCTTACCTATATCCAGAAGTTAATAATTACTTATTATTGAAAAGCGAGTAAGTATTGTTTCCGCTTTATATAACTTATTATTGTGTGCTTAAAAAACAACAATAGTGTCATAAAATAATAATAATAAATATACATTGTTTCGTGTAACAAATTCCCATTTGGATGTAGGAAACGGCTCATAAACCAGTCATAACCATTTTATAACTGCATGAGTCATGTTCATTGTATTTTGTCAATATTTCAAACTTATTCTAGAGAAACAGCCGTTTAGCAATGATTATCGCCGATAATTACTCTCCACACTGCAGAGAAAAAGGGACTTTAGATTGGACAAATAACTTCTATATATATATATATATATATATATGTGTGTGTGTGTAAATAAATAGCGAATAGTCAAATAAACTGTTGCCTGATAATAGATTTTACTAAAGTTCCAAGCCGTGTTTGTTTAGGAAACTTTAATAAGAATATTCTCAAGTATACAATGTTTCACTGTTAGCCTCACAATAATACCTGATGCACCCCTTCTACTGGAATAGCCTCAGGCCATTACAAAATCGATTATAACGCTTATGGAAGTAATGATTACACTCGATTCTCGTGTTAGCGTTACTATACGTTACCTCTATACGGTTAAGTATTTCGTAAATTTCTCTGATAAAAAGAAAAACCGCATATAATGAAACTGATAAGAAATACAGATGCATTCCATATCTCGTTGATAAGGGGAGCTTGTGAGAAGTGATAACTTTTCATTGTTAATGCTTTGATGATCTGGCCAATACTAAGTGTATCTGATAAGGAAGCAAGTTAAAAGCACAGGAACTCAATATTGTAAAGTAGAACAGTTATAGACAAAATAAAAATATTGTTCTCTTAAACAGCTTTACGAAAACAGACGTTTACACGCACTTAATATAGCGATCTTTAATATCTGATTCAGATATTGTGTTATATATATGAAACATACATATTGTTAGTATAAATACAATTTGAAGAGTGATTTTAAGTAGAGGTTTCTCATGTTCGTGAAAACGAAGACTAATTAGGATGGAGACTGTATATAAAGTTAAGTTTGTTGTTATAATTTAATTAGTTTTCTTTATGATTTCATACTGCTTGGCACATAGCCAGTATCTATTACATTATTTTTATGATTCTAAAGTAAAGAGTTAGTCGGTATTTTATGTTTTATGAAGTAACATAACAAATGGTAATCGGCCCCCTTCAGCCTATAGTCAGCTTCTATGTTTTTCTGAATAATATAAACGAACTAACTCTCTTGTTTGGAGCTCGTCAGCTTACACGTTTTTTTTGTTTTTTTGTTTTTTTTAATAATTTTAACGAACTAACTTTCTTGCTTGGAGCTCGTCAGTTTTCACGTGTTCCTAAAGTCGGTTAAGATCTCTCGGACGAATTATAATCCTCTATTTAATCTTCTTTTAAAACAACTTTGTAACATCCCCCACCCCCCACATTGCAGAAGTTAGTTGCTATCTCTTTCTCATTAATGATCATAAATCTATTCAGTAGGGATCATTAACAACCATCAGTCACCAGCAATATTATGTTAACTGTTAAAAAAATATTAATCTGGATAAAATTAACTAAATAATTAGAATACTGTGGTTGATATTTTATTAATATGAATATTCATTTTAATACATACATGCCCCTCTCACTTTTAGTGGGTATGATATCATCCTGTCGGGTGAGCTTGAAACATTTGTATTATTACTTGCACTGAGAAAAGTGTAAAATAGAATAAGTAATAAAGGGTCGCTTATTTCAATAGCTTTGATTTCCTTAGAGACCTGGAACCGTACAGTGGTTTTAATTAACTAGCTAATACTTGCTGGTCTTTCACCAGCTTAAAAATATGTTAAGGTACTGTCCAAACTGTACATATAACAATATTAACGTTGCTGTTGGGTTTTACTGTACATGTAACAACAATATTAACACCAGCCTCAGAGTTACTGTTGGCTTTTACTGTACATGTAACAATATTAACACCAGCCTCAGAGTTACTGTTGGCTTGTACTGTACATGTAACAATATTAACACCAGCCTCAGAGTTACTGTTGGCTTGTACTGTACATGTAACGATATTAACACCAGCCTCAGAGTTACTGTTGGCTTGTACTGTACATGTAACGATATTAACACCAGCCTCAGAGTTACTGTTGGCTTGTACTGTACATGTAACGATATTAACACCAGCCTCAGAGTTACTGTTGGTTTTTACTGTAATGGAGGGAACTGTTTGTATCTAAGTGTCTCTGTCAGTAAGTCTAACGTAACTGTAGTATTAAATCTGTCAGTAAGTCTAACGTAACTACAGTATTAAATTAAGTGTCGTTAGAAATAATATTTTCCTTATTATTTGCCATCAGAAGAGTTAGTTTTTTTTCTCTCCACTTCGGTTGTTGAACGAATTTCAAACCGTCGTGTATAGGCCTTAGGAACGATAAAAAATTTTTAGTTTTCCGAAAACGTTTTCGCATTTTGGACGTGTGCGATTGGTTCGTTTGAACATTTAGTGGTGGACCATTGTTTATAAACCCCAGGATATTGCAACAATCTTGCCCATTCGTTTGTAGATATCAACTTTACGCACGATAAGTAATTTTAATCAGCAGATTTTAATCAAACTTCACAGGTCACATCCCACGAGACTGAGGAAGAACTCTGTTGATTTTGAGGTTAAAAGGTCAAAGTGTTTAGAATGTATTGTTTCCTGATAATGGAATACAGCTAATATACTGTTGTTACTTACAGTGTTTAGAATGTATTGTTTCCTGATAATGGAATACAGCTAATATACTGTTGTTACTTACAGTGTTTAGAATGTATTGTTTCCTGGGGAGATCCATCGAAAATTTGACAGATCGAAACTATGAGATATTGTATAGTTATTAAGGTTGA